AAACTGTACTCACTGACAAGATGAAACTCTATTGGTGGTCAAAATTATGAATTCTTCAGCATCTTGATTCAAGTGCATTCATTACCCTGAAAAATTCCCCGATTCAGGGAAACATCCATGTAAGATAATCCAGAGAACTCTGTTTATTGATGGAGTTTCAATGATAGAATTATTATTTTTATTCATTTTATACAAGGCTTTCAAGGGCTATCCATTCTCAGTCCTTCAGTAAAAACATTTAATTTGTTATTTGACTAAGAAAAGTTTGGCTGCTTATGACTGATGGGACCTCTCAACAGGAAGTTTCATCAAAACAGCAGACCATGCTACCACCAATCATAACAAAAGAACATTAAGTAATTGAGGTGAATCCTTAGGTGGGCTGAACATCACATCTTAATTCATATTTATCAATTAACATTATATGATAAAATATACTGAGTAAATGACAAAGAGTACTATCTACAATGTAGATTGTGAAACATACATGATATTGGCCTTGTGAACTGCTGTCACTTTCTTTCTCCCATGCTTAACAGCAAAGTCAAATGCATACTTTGCAACTTTTGTACATTTCTCCTCCGTCATGACTTTAAAACTTTCAATAACCCCATCTACATTCTAAAGAAAACCAACCACATTACAAATACAGAGAAAGATGTTTTTCATCTTGTGATGAGCTTGGGACAAAGAAAAAATTCTGAATCTGCATTACAAGTATATTTCTCTTAATAATACCTAGTAGAGGAAAGATGGTAAATTTTGAGTCCAGTTAGTCAAGGAGCCAGACCCAACAAAAACTGGTTTCGTTCAACCCACCTGACAGACCAATGATAGACCAATACCTGCTCTTTAAGATAAGATACTATGTAGTCCCGAATTGTGGTACCGCTAATGAGATAAATGGGGCTATATACCATGATATGGTACTCAGCATGGATACGAGGCTCAAACGGAAATTGACCTCAAATTTCATCTTCTTTCACTGAAGTGCCCCAAACCCATCTGAAAAAATGATGATCATGTACCTGCCTACAATTTGAAACAATTTTTGTATGCTATCATAGAAATGTGGGCAATCATAAGCTTTAATATTTGCACAGCATCCTTCTTTATTTCAAAGATTTGACCCGTTTTGAGGTTGCGTTTATTCCAGCCTCGTTTCCATGTAAACAGTGATGGAAGAGACATCAGCACTAATATTGTCTATCTTCTGGAGTTCTACCCATCCAAATGTTTTTTTTAAGCATAATTCGAAAGTACATGATTTCTCTGTTGCCACATAAGATGATGTCATGATCGACAAATCCACTCTCTGTACAAGAGAATATCAGTAAATTCCGCGTGGCCACATAAGATGAAAAGCCTGGATAAGACCTCAGCAGGATTTGAAACATGTCATGATCGACAAAGGAGACTGCTTTTAGATGAAAAAGTGGTCATGTGACAATCCCATGACATGCTGTCGTACCATGTGAACACTCAAATTGTAGGCAGGTACATGATCATCATTTTTTCAGATGGGTTTGGGGCACTTCAGTGAAAGAAGATGAAATTTGAGGTCAATTTCCGTTTGAGCCTCGTTTCCATACTGAGTGCTATATCATGGTATAAAGCCCCATTTATCTCTTTAGCGGTACCACAATTCGGGACTACATAGTATCTTATCTTAAAGAGCAGGTATTGGTCTATCAGAATCACCTGTCAAACCTTTTCTGTTGGGTGGGTTGAACCAACTCGTTAAATAAGGCTTTTTCAGAAAATAGCTCCTTGACTAAGTAAAGAAATAGAGAAAGATAAATTTTTTTCTTGTCACAAGTCTGGGACAAAGAAAAAAAATTCTGAGTTCCCATGAAGATTGAACCACAGGCCTTGGGATTCCTCCCTCCAATGCTCTACCATTGAGCAACAGAGACTCAGTGGTTAACAAAGCCCAAGGTCTTCACAGGGACTCAGAATTTTGTCTTTGTCTCACTCTTGTTACAAGACCAAAAACATCTTTATCTTTTTCTCATTGGCTAAATAGCATGAAGGGAAAGGAAGAAGGTTGTTAAATTTCAGTTTCACAAGATTCTTTCTCTACCTACTATAGGTTGATTATCAATCCAAACCTCAACCAGCACAATTGCTCCTGAAAGCAATCATACAGGTGCCTATACTCTACTTGGTTGAGAAGACTGAGTAGTATGTCATATCTTGCATTAATCATCCGTTCTGAAGTTGATATAATACTGAAGCACTAATTTCCACTATGCAATATTTTTATTTTCTGTACTAGCTCTAATAATTGTTTGAGTAATCATGCTTTTAAAAACAAACTTCCTCTTCACACTCAGTAGTTACAGTCAAATAATACTATCTTCTTTATGTAATCTTCTATCTTCTTTAGTAATCATGCTTTTAAAAACAAACTTCCTCTTCACACTCAGTAGTTACAGTCAAATAATACTATCTTCTTTATCTAAACAAATTATTGGACATTATTGGCCCTATTTTTTGGCAAATAACAATTTGGCTTGCAGGAGAAGGAAATTACTGGCGTTATAATTATGACATGTCATTGCTGTTATTTAATAAAAACCCACCTCATGTTCTATGTGGCTGTACTCTCCCTCTGTGTTTTCTCTGATTATTACTAGATCAACATCACCATGCCTTAGAAGAAGAATATTTTTACCAAACTAATATACAGTCAAATATAATTAGTAAGTACAAAAATTGCTCATACAAAAAACCATCTAACAAATTTCAATGACAAAAAAACGATTTCCAACACAAAATATAAACAACTCTTACCGTACAGGGATACCTGGGATGGATTTACATCTCACAACATTTGCAAATAGATCCAACTGAAGACTAGTCATCAAAAAGAAATCAGTATATTTACAAATAAATTTCAGACTCTAAATAATCTCATGGATACAAAGAATATCATAAAGAAAAACAATTCCTTTAAAATAAGAAAAAAAAAATCATTTCCCATGGATTAAATTGTGATAATGCAATGCAACAAGATAAAAATTCAAGAAATACATGAGTTAAAAAGTCAAAGACAACAATATAAATATGGTTGAAGGTTACATTATTGTCTTACATGTATAGTTGGTCTCTTGATAGAGATCCTTTTTCTGCTCTAATTTGAAAAAATGGATTATTATTCATACTGACCGTAACTCAACATTGAGTGACTTAAAAGTCGGTTGATCTAATGGAGTAAAAATATTTCCTAAAAACCAAAATGAGCCAGATCAGTGTATCATACAGAATTGTGTATTTTAGAAAAAAGGTAAACATTCTCTGACAAATGTGGCCTACAAGTTTTATTTCTACCAAGAAGTTGTGAATGTTCATATTCTTAAATCCTTTCTTGGAAATAAAAATTAAGCAGAACAACTTCAGTTAATGCAGGTTCCATGTAGACATAGATAAAGTATATGCACCAACTGACCACATGGATCAGTAAGGCAAAAGGAATCAACCACCATATAATTGATATTGGATTTAAAATAACATACAGTTGTGAGTGTAAATCAAGGTGTTTTTGTAGAGCTGTGATTCATTATCTAATTGTAGGCAACAAAATGGTAGAATGCTTTCATTTCAGAGTAAAAAATTTATACATCGACAGGAAACCTATGACAAAAGTGAGGAGTATAAAGTTTCTACAGCAATTGAATACCTTTAATTGCAGCTCCATTTCTCTTTACTGATGTAACAACATCCTCTAGAGTATCACTGAATGTGTCCTCATCACTCAGATTCAATCCACTGGAAAAGATGGGAATAAGCATTTTAATGTAATCATTTTGAAATTAAACTATCTCTGCCCTTTACTGGAATCATTATTTACCAATATTTACAGACACTATCAAATCTTATTAGCATAGAGTATATATCTTACCTTAAATTAAGCTCTTCAAAATCAACTGGTGCTCCAATGTATCTAAAACAGGAATATATGACAATTCTATGGAAATAAATGCTAAATAAAAGCATCTAGTATCAGTAGAGATGTCCCCTCTTGTTTATTGGAGCAATTCTATGAGAGACTGACCACAGATAAAAATTATATTCATTCACAATTGATAGCTTAAGTATGAAGCATAAAACAAACACTGACATCCCATTCATTTTACATGCAGTGTGTGGTTGGCATATTTTCGCACATGGTAAATGCAGCAATTTGCAATAATTTCAGGGTATACTGTTTATGTTTCAGATAACATGACTACGTACCTGAATATATCTTTTACAGCTGTAACCATCTCCGGACCCACCCCATCTCCTGGGATTAGTGTCACAGTGTTACGGCCACCATACTTTGCATGCAAAGGGACTTCGTGAGTTTGGTGGAAAGCATCCTAAAGAAGAATATCAAAAAGTTAACGTCTGTAAAGAAGGATTTAAGTACAAAATATTTCTTAGCTTGTTTCCTTATGGCAGACACAAATCGTACTAGGTTGGGACGTCTTTCAATTTCTAGCTTCGTTTTCTCTGATTTTACGGCAGGTTTTCTCTGTTTTAAAAAAGCTGGTTTAGAAATGGAACCCACCAAATCAATCAACCTTTAGTCATATTTGATCAAAGTTCCTACTGAGTTTCATAAAAATACTTTCAGTTTAGTACACACAATGCTTGCATGAATTTTGCATTTCAGTTGATGTTCCCTTCATACACAGAGCACCTGGCATAAAGCTATCGTACGGAAATGAGGAAAATTAAATTTTGGGTACTTCTCGGCTGTAGCTCACAAGATACCAGAAATTTTCAAAGTGAAAAAACATTCAAAGAGTTAAGGGAATATGTCACAATAAGTTTCGAGTTATACCTGTCTGCAGATTAGAGGTGACAGCTGACGGACATTCCTCCTCAAAATGAACCCAGAGAAACTTGAAGCGCAGCGCAACACAGACCAACCGACAGCAGCCATGTTGTGTATCGCGGTCTCGTCACAAATCAGCGGCAACTACATTTGTCAGCACCTACGAAAGTCTTGTTAAATAAATTTCACTTCTCTCTTACGTGCATTTCGTTAGTGTTTCTGTAATTCATCGTCACTTTATAGTCAATCTAGGTTTGTATTTGTCCTCAGCAAGTTCTACTTCTACTGTGATACTGCCGATTAGGTTATTCCAGTGATAAAAGCAGTCTAAAGTAAGGTTGAGATGGACTGTGGTGAGCACGTTGTGTTGGATGAGACAACCGAGTTGCAGTTCCTTTCAAAGGAAGAACTCATCCAAAGGGTGGTCAAGCTAACAAAAGAGAAGGAAGAAGTACTTTTGATGCTTGATGAAAGCTCTTCAGTGGAACAGAAACCAGATACGAAGAAGGCACTTGTATCGGCAGATCGTAGAAAGAACTCCAAGGAATCTAAGGCAGGCACTGGAAACACTAGCAAGCAAAAGTCATTTGATTTTTCTCGATATCATAAACGACACATAGCTCTGAAAATAGCTTATCTTGGATGGGACTTTCATGGCTTTGCTAGTCAAGAGAGTACAGAAAACACAATTGAAGGTCACCTTTTTGCCGCTCTATATAAAGCTTGTCTAGTAGAAAACAGAGCTAAAAGCAACTACTCCAGATGTGGAAGGACGGATAAAGGGGTTAGTGCCTTTTCACAGGTTGTTTCCCTTGATGTACGATCAAATCTGGCTGAGGGTCTTGGTGTCATTGTGAGTGGGGACAGAGAAAAAGTACAAAAAAGAATCGGTATGTATTGAACTTCTAATTTCAATCACTCAGTTCCTCTTCCCCCACCTTGAAAATATTTGAATTAGAAATCGTTTCACTTTTTGAGGTTGTGTTTATGACACTTAAAGATCCGTTGTGTTGCTTCCCTACAGTTGCAATCTTGTTACTACTACAGGGTTAAATAAAAAAGTTTACTTAACTTTTATTTTTGCAAAAGATTAAAAGTTTGATTAATTCATTGGCAGGGAGAACCAAGGAGATTTCAGAAATCTCCTATGCTCATATTCTAAACAAGCTCCTTCCACCAGAAATCAGGATTATTGCCTGGATGCCAGTGGAACAAGAATTTGATGCAAGATTCAGTTGTTTACACAGGACATATAAATACTTCTTCCCTGCAGCAAATCTTGATATAGAAATCATGAATTGTGCAGCTCAGAAATTTGTAGGAAAGCATGACTTTAGGAATTTTTGTAAAATGGATGTTGCAAGTGGTGTTTTAACTTTTGAAAGAGATCTTCTATCAGTTACAGTTGAAAAGATAAAGAATGACTCACACCACTGCAGTGGCTATCAAATATGTGAAATAACAATTTGCGGGTCAGCATTTCTGTGGCATCAAGTGCGATGTATGGTAGCTGTACTTTTCATGATTGGTCAGAATCTAGAAAATAAGGAAGTTATTGACTGGATGCTTGACATCAAGCAATGTGCGAGTCGACCACAATACAATATGGCCTCAGAATTACCTCTTGTGTTGTATGACTGTTGTTATGAGCAAATGTCATGGAAACATGAATGCGGGACTTTAGAAGCCTTATTGAAAGACTTTCAGAAGTTGTGGACAAGTCAAGCCATCAAAACAGCAATACTTAGTAAGTTGACTGAAAAACTAGATGATGCAGCTGTGATTAAATGTGTTGACAGGAGCAACATTGCTGGTGAGCATGACAGTGGCGAGATTGTTTCATGGAGTGACACAAGACAACCTCAATTTCATCAGTTGATGTCATTGGTCCCCTTCCAAATAAAAAACAAAACACGCAAACCACTTGCTAAAAGAGACAGGCATGAAAGTTTTGAATTCAAATTGGAGGTAGTTAATGCAAAGCGAAGAAAAGCTGGCAAAGAAGAATTTGCAGAAAAGGCAAGTGAGCCGAGTTAAGGAATGAACAGTGTGTTCCATGTATTTTATTATGGTAATAAGCTGGAAACATAGGACTTTGCACATATAGAGTACAGTTTAAGGTTGAAAAAAAAAAGCATCCGACATTTACCTTGTGTGTTTTTAGAGGCCATAAACTTACTTAAAAGGAGTGTTGATTTGTAAAAAAATACTGTAATTGTTCTTCCAGAAACTCATCATCAGCCAGGTACCAACACAATCAACAATTACCTTAATATTAAAAAAAGAACTACATTATTTTATTTGTTGTTAGGGCATGACTATCAGGTTGGTCAGTGAATAGTGCTGTGATTGGTGACCAAATTACCTAATCCAGTGATGATTTCTTTAGATTTCAATTTGTGGTAGTGAAAGTAACAATTATTGCTAGAATATAACGATAGAAGGTGGTATATATGGTGTTTTTTTCACTGACAAAGGGTTTCAATGCTGCATTTCGTGGATTTTAAAGGTTAAAACATATATTGGTGGGTATCGCCACCTACAGGTTTATAACTCTAGCTAGTAACAAGGACTATAAATGTTGTTGTTGCTGATCTTTTTTGTTCAGTGCAAGTAAAGTTACGTGAGCAATTTTTTGGCAGTTTGCATACCAAAGATTCTGCAAAGAAACGATATTTAGAGGCAAAACTATCGCAATATTTTGCTGTGCAGGTGTTTCCGGAATGCACAGAATTAAAGAAAGGGACAATGATCATTGTAAAAGTACTTGAGACTAAGTAAATACAATATTTTACAATTACATCAATATTTAGGGGGCGTACATTTTAATTCACCGCTATGCAAAAAGACCGAAAGTACAAAACATTTTTCATCAACACAATTTAGTAATGAATCTTACCGAATCTAAGGCCGACTTTTTTTGTCAACAAAACTCGTTTCAAAATGTCAGAAACATTCCGTGCAATATATTCTGTTGTTTTATCATCCTTAACATTAGAGGGATCAAATCCGGGAATTTTTAGGGAAGTTATCTGCCTTTATTGGTGAGAAGTTGTCTTTCACCTGTCTTGTTCTTTTGTCAAAAAACAACAGAGGAATGCAGTTCTAAAATAAAAGACGAGTTCTTGACAAGACGACTCAATCAAATCAATAGGGAGTGTTCTCGAAAAGCTCCTCAGGTAATGCACTATACTTTTTTCCCAATTCACACGAAAATGATGAAAGTTTTATTACTGGTGTCACACAACGTCTTTCGTTAATCTTGGCTGTCACAAGGTAGAACGAATTTTTACCATGTCGATATCAGCAATGTTTTAAAGGGATTCCAATGTAACTTTACTGGGGCTCTATGGCAAAATGAAAGACTGAACGAGCAATCAGTGGAAAATTCGCTTCCATAAAGGTAATAAGTCTACTGTCACAATTTTTCACCGCATGAAGCGTGCAAAGGGTAAGGGAAATTTATTCAATACTTTGACATGAGCATGATGGCATCGTTCTTCGAATTCTTTTCCGGTTTTTGTCAACAAAGGATTAAAATTGCTCAGGTTTTGTAATCGCTCGGTTTATTGACTTAAATAAAACAAAGAGGTAATTTCCTTACAGAACTAGCAAGGAATAGTTTTCATTAAACGGAAACGAAATGTTTATTGTTTTATCTAATGCTCTTATACCAATATGCTTTCATAACTTAATCATTATCATTCCAAATACCTTGATAGCTGGCTGGAACAACACCATTCTGTGCACGCGTAGCTGTTATTATGGTCATCAGGTAGGAAAAGCGAATATACTCTCATTGTGGTTTCCTTCTTTTCAAATTGAATGGATGACATATTTTTCCCCTTCTTTCGCTGATTGTTGTATTTATGAAATCTCTCGTGTCTTTAATTTTCTTGTCGAGGAGAACATTGCATCCTCAAGCAGCGAGTTGAAAAATTCAACATGAACGGGTTTGAACTTTTTAGGAGATCAGGTCTTTCCAGAGAGCAGCCCTTCAATATATTTGTTACTTCGTTAAAGTATTTCGAGAAATAACTATCTAGATTTAGCAGTTTAAATATTGTCAATTTAGTTCGAGTGTTCTTCTGATTCACCATATTTTAAAGAAAACCTTGAATGCTTCGTCTATTTCTTTTCAAATAACCATCCGTAAGAACAGTGTGTGAACATAATGGTTCAAACTGAATTATGAAATCTTTCGCTTCACAAACGTTAATAATTGTTTGGCCATTTCTCTCTGATATCAATACGTAAAGCAGAACAAGTAGTTAAATTAAGCTATTGAAATGTTGAAAAGATCTTTGGCTAGCATTGATTTCATATAGCTTCCTCAAGATATTCCTGTAACTTTACGATTCAGGATAGAGCGATATGTTAATCACATGTACGAAAAAACAGTTCTCAAAAATTGGGAATAAGTCCAATAGGCGTTTCCATTCACAGCCTGATAATATATGCCAGCATCAACTGAAATGCCTTAAGTTCACTTCATAATTGAATTATAATTTGAACAAGTTCTCGTTATCCCACCAGTCCCTTCTTTTCGCTGAGACATATTTATTGATTACTGATTATGAGTGGACTTCTTATTCCGCTAACTAAGCCTGTCTTGAATGAAAATGAAAGGAAATCAGCAGTATTCTCATTGGTATTCACGCTCTCCATCGAGAGTCCTGAGAGATAAAAAAAATAGATATAGATTTCATAACCGCTAATTAATAAAGAAGTAGTTACAACAAATAGTTGAGCTTCGGACCCACTGATGTTCAAAGAAAAGCGAGGATTGCACAAAACAACAAAAATCTTTACGAGGCAAAAGATCGCTTGAAACAAACATATTACCCATAACTACAGTAGTAACGGCCAAAGGAAAATCGCGGACAGTGTGTTGATTCGGTGCTTTAATAATTTATAAGTAATATTCGTCGTTGGAGAGTTGTCCCGTTGAGAGTATAAAATTTCCTTCTTTAAAAAAAATGATTAAAATTGTTCTCGCTTCTGTCAGAAAAAGAAGAGAAAAAAAACACCATAAAAAGGAACCGAGTATTCTGCTGTTCGATTCCTGAGCATGATCTCTCGGATCTCAAGCAAGAATCGCAAGTATATCCCTGTGTTGTGATCTGTGTCAATAAAATTCAGTTTGGTTTGCTTTCTCGCGTATCATTCTTAACACTAATTGATCGTGAGTAGGAAAACAACCCGGTAGGGTTTTTAGAAAATAAGGCACGTGTTAGAACCTTTTAACATGTTCGGTGCTCATTTATGTGTTTTCTTTGAAAGCTGACTTGTAAAAAGTAAATTGTTTATTTAGCTCAACTCAGCAATCTGAAGAAACATTTGCCGAGAAGGAGAGAGACGCATGAGAACCCACAAGAACAAAACTATGGCTGGAATAGAGTTATGTTCTGCACCGAGTACTCAGAGTCTTGGAGTGCACTCCACTACCTTCCGAAGGGGTCGAAAGAGAGTGGAAGTATGTTTGCTGAGTATTTGTGGAATACTTCTTTTGATATGCACTGTGTTAGCGGTATTATTTGCTGTGGAACTTTCCAAACGCAATCAATATGACGCAAAGACAAATGGTCCTGTAGATGGTCGGACTGTACCAACAACATCAGTGCCACTTCCTACTACTGAAAGCCTAGCACCGACAAGAGTGTGTAACACTGCTGACTGTCTGGAGATTGCAGCCCGCTTCACACGGAACATGAACAATTCTGTCGACCCATGTCAGGACTTTTTCCATTTTGCTTGCGGTGGATGGATACAGAACAATCCAATTCCTCCGTACAAGAACGAGTATATTACATTCATGAGAACGATTCAGGCAAACAATGAAAAACTTAGAAATATGTTGGAAGATGCCACCGGAGAACACGATGACCCAGTAATGAAAGCAAAGAGGTATTATCGCTCGTGTATGAATGAAGAAGAAGTTGAGAGAACGACCACACAGCAAATGTTGGAGCTCATAAGGAGCCTTGGGTCATGGGCACTGGACAACGGAACGTGGAGTGAGACTGTATGGAACTGGAAGACTGCTCTACTAAAGATTCAAACAACTTTTTTACATTCTTCGCCTCTGTTTACTATTGATGTGTTAACTAACCCAAGAAATTCAAGGAAACATATTTTAAAGGTAAGCCCACGACAGCACCACACCATGTTGATGCTGCTTGTTGAAAAATTACAAAAATTCTATCTTAGTGATGAAACAAACGTAAATTGTCAGGCGTTCATGATTTAATTATCCGCAAAAAATTTCTCTGATTACACTTTGACTCAGTGGAAGAACAAAAGGAGAGAAAAACAAACAATTATTGTCATGGAAAGTTTTGTTTTTTTATTAATGACTTCAGTTGAGAATAAGTGTTTTAAACCTGTTAAGCTGTTCTGATTTTATGCAAATTTCTATCAAAATAATATACATGAAAAAATTACTCAGTTCTGATTGGTTAAGATAAATGCAGTTTTCGGGTAGAGAAATGCAGACGAGGGTTAATTCAGTGCAAAGAAGAACAAACCACACTGAAAAATTTCTTGATCAGTTTAGCCGGACTTTGAACCTTTTTGCGCCTTAAAGATGTGAAAAAATTATTGTATACTATTGTTTTGATCGTGCGCGGTTGTTTTGACCGAACGCACAAATATGAATAAATTATTTTTGCACTTTATGCGCGCGCTTTGCTTCTGCATAATTATGATAAGCTATCTCTTATTTTTCATGTACATTATCAATACGTGATCACATTACTTTTCTTGTGCAATTTGTAATAAACAAGCGCGAGTAACTTCTTTCAAAGACTACAAATTGCATTTTGTTATTCTTTGAAAAAATTTACTCGTGCTTATTTATTCCAAATTGAACTCGAAATCATGTGATTACCGATACCAATCGCTTGTCTTTGACGTTATCAGCTAAAGAGGTGCAGTCATTTTAACACCGACGGACAACGACGTCATGTTGCCTATTGACCGAATCATACTCTGAAACAGAAAAATAGGCTTGAGTGACCCTCTTTATTGAATGCTTTGTTTTTCTATCATTCAGCTCCTTCCCCCAGAGTTAAGTTTGACTCGTGAAGAATATCTGTCGAAAAACAGCAAAGTAAGTGTGACAGATATACTTATTTAGATTATCTCGCTCCAGGAGAACCTTCACAGAAGGCAGCTTTTGATCATTTTCCTTGGAATTAAGCGCCTGGAGGTCTGAGGTTTGATGAGACTTCATATATCTACCTGAGGTTTAGTCTGTGTAACTTTTTTGTCCACAATTGCCTTCGTATGGCACCGTCAGAGCGATGCCAAATGCCAGGAGTGTTTTACTATGTAAAGGACTAATCAAAAAATCAATTATTTTGATTTCGAACAAAGTTTAATTCTTCAACCAGGATTATATTGGAAAACTGGATTGGATTGTTGTGCAGTGTTTAGTTGATCTTTAGCATGTACAATGAGTCTATGTGTGTTACCAGTAAAATATAACTTACTCACAGTGATCATTCGTGACGCATTTTCATAATAAGTTCTAATTGTGAATATTTCTCTCGGTTAAGCCATGGATGAGCCAAATGTGTGGTAGTTATTACAATTTTGTTACTTGTTTTCGTTCTCCCTTCAGAGGAGGCCTGCATATCTCGAGTATATGACAACGGCGGCAATGTTGTTAGGAGGACAGAATGCCACCACCCGACAGAAAATGAATGGGATTCTTGAATTTGAAGAACAACTTGCTCGGGTACCGTGTGGACATGTGACCTTATGATTGGCAACATGCCATCATTTTTCATTCAGTTCTTTTCCACAGTTTATGTTTTTGATCCTTAAGTCTCTCGATTCTCTGGTGAACTATTGCCATAACGCAATCTTGTGTAGAAGAATACATGACAGTCCTTTCCACTGTCTGCTTTTTTTTTTTCCATTTTCAGAGTATACCCTCCAAGACGTTCCTCTACCAACATGAGCATGACACAATCACAATACAAGACCTACAAAACCACGCTCCTAAGGTAAAGCATCATTGAATTCTTTGCTTGTTGGCACAATCCTGCCTCAAATATTAAAATCCTTTGATATTCTTGGTCGCCGAAACATTTGTAAGGGAAATTACTTACTATGTGTTCCTTCGAAAACCTTTATAATTAAAATGTTATCATTCCTTGGCATTTAAGTACATTTTCGTTTTCTCAATTCCATCCGTTTTGTTGCGTGGGAGATGATGGGGTAAGGGAGGGGAGGTAGAGGTTCCGCGTAGTTCCACTCCAAATTATTCTAACTCATAAACACGATTTCACTGCAGTTTCAATGGCTACAACATTTGAACAACCTGTTAAGCGAACATAACACAACGTTAGATGACTCTGAGGACATCATCGTACCTACACTTGAGTATCTCCAAAACATGTCAGAAGCTTTACATACTGCAGATAGGGAGTAAGTTAGCGCGATTATTTTGACATAATCTTGTTCTTATGATCATTTGGCTCATTATCATCGATTGTCTAGACTGTACAAAACGTGTAACAAAGACATCGTCAAGTTACTCAGTCT